TGCTAATTTTATGGTAAGTCTCAGGATTGCTGGTGGTTTTTTAAATCCCCAGCTCCTGGAGGCATGTGATTACATGAGAATCTCAGCTGTTTCTGCTCTCAGAGCTTTGGAGAAAAGTGACCTGAGTATACCCCAAAGGTTCAGAAGGCAAATAAAAAGATCTAAAAAATTTTTTATTCTTTTTAAAAATCTCATTATTTTTAAGCCAAGACTTTCTGCGAGCTGACTCATGAAATTTGAACTCTTGGGGTTGGCAATCCTGTGATATAGTGAGAAACCAGCACTAGATTTAAAGTTACTCTCTGGCATAACTGCACTGGCACAAAGAAGCTGTAAGGTTCCACACCCCTCAGATGAATAGTATTAGCACAGGAGACCCATGTGCCCCATAAATCTGTCAGCCGTGTGCTGCATCCACAACAGATGACAGCATGGGGGGGCTTTCTTTGGTGGGCCATAGTCATGTCAGAGGTGGGCAAAAGAAGGGGAGAAGTGGACATGAACATGGTGCTGGTGACTCTATACCCCCTGCAATGGCCGTTAGGAGTCATTACACCAAAGGCACAAATTAGGGCTTTCCTGGCCTGGAATGGGGATTGAACTGGCCTCTGGCAGCACCTGAATAGGGGAGTATAAACTGCTTCTTGGCCATCCCTGCACTGGTTTGTGCTTGAGTGTAGATCTGCTCCCAGAGCACATATTTTTGACACTGTACCTTGAGGTCCTAACTTTATTCCATAGAACTATTCCCTGAATTTTAAAAATGCATATGCCCATGCAATTGTGCATGTGCCTTAAGGTATTTGCTATTTTATAAATTAGAGGTGGAAAATATATATATTCTGCTCTCACTTTTACCAGTGCCACAGTTGGGTAATCCTCTTGTCGTCAAAGGAGTTGCTCTGGATTTGCACCAGTTTAAGTGAGATCAGCCAGGCCCACAAGGTTATCATGCTGTCCATCCCCTTGTCAGTGCAGGATTATTTCCTACACTACTAATTCTAGAGATGAGCCTGAGCTAACCCTCAGATCTGAACAGCCCTGAACTTTGGGCTTGGGACAGGTCACAATCTAAAATCAGATTAAGATTCAAATTTTTGCCTCTTCCCCTATCTCTATAATAAACCGGTTCATGGGCCTAATTCACTACTGCATTACGCCATTTTGCACTGATGTGCCTCTGTTGATGGTACAGACTGGAGAAACGCAGTGGTGAATGACAGATCTGGACTCCCTCAAACTTTGGGGAATTTGATATTGAGATCCGGATCCACACTTTGCAGCCTAGTCCCAGGTCTAGTATTTTCCAGTACCTTTTCCATTCTAGTTTCAAAAGCCTCAGGCAAAGAGCTACTCTCTTCTTCCTTTTGAGAGATTAACACACTTTAGTAGATACCAATTTTCAGCCTAAATTTCCTTTTGCTCAGTTTCATCCCATTACTACTAGTTATATACTCATGAACTACAAAGATATTTTCTTGATTGCCTTGTACTGAAGGCTGACAGAAGAGCTCCTTATTAATTGTGCCAAGTCTTTGAGCCCCATGAGGTTAATTTTGGTTTTATTTTATTTTTTAAATAAGATTCTAGCCCTTTTCCTTACAGAGATAGCCTTGAAAATGGGATTTGATATAAACCAATGGCTAGGGTGGAAAGGAACAAGGAGCTTTGTTTCTACAGCAGATGAGGTCTTTGCTGAGTTTCAGCCCTCACTGAGGCTGGTGGCGTTGCATGGGTATATCCACCCTTGCTGCAGCAGCTACTACAAAGGGAACTCCCCTCCTGTTATCCCCCAACAGAGCCTCTAGGAGCACATGGGGTATGCGCTATACAGTACCATATCCCCACACCTCACCAGGGGAGGAGGGACCAAGTCGCTTCTGCTTTGAGCGCAAGTATGGCAGCTGCTGCAATCCGTCTCTCTTCCTAATAGTGCCTGCCTGCCTACCCAGGCCACAGTATGAAGAGCTGCTGTTAGGTTGGAGCCCAGAGGCCAGTTCCTCATCACCGCCACCACGGAGGGAAAAGCTGCTCTCCTCCAACCCTCCTTACCAGGTAGGGAGACCTACTCCCATTCACACCCACCCACTGAGTCTTGGGAGAGCCACTCCCCCATCTTGAGTCCTCAACCAACCTCTCTGCACACACCAGCCAGTTAGGTAGTTGCCGGTCCAGCCAGTCCCACACACCAACCAGAGGAGACCTGCCCACTTCCAAAACCAAGGGAAACCCATTCCCCAACTGACTACCCAGTGCACCACCAGGGGGACTCCCTTCCACCTGACCAGTCGGCCCTCAGTCAGATGCCACAGGATGACTAGTGAGTTAGAATCCCTAGTGGTGCAAGTAGAATTCATTTCTTACCAGTACGTTGCACTCATGGGAGGGACACAAAGGTAGGGGCATGTGACCTCCCCACATGACCTCTCCACCCTGCCCCCAGCCTGGGTCCCTACGCTCTCTCTGTCCCCTCCCCATGATTCATCCCATGTTACCGGGAGGTGGGTGGGTGGGGCTCTGTCCTCCTCCCACTGCGCTGAAGACTTCTGAACCACAGGGCTTTCCGGAACCGCAGTGGTGAAAGGAGCAGAACGTGGGGCCGCTGAGTCACTCCATGCCGGCAGCTCCTCCAGAGATGCTGTACCACCCCCAGCCCTGTCCCCAGCCCTTCCATGCAGCTGCATCTCCTGAGTTCCATCTGGGGTCTGGAGGACAGGGCAGGGGGGCAGGCCTGAGGGCGGTACCGTTGCGCCGGAGGATCTGCTGGCATGGGGCTGCTAGGCAGCTCCACGTTCTGCTTCTCCTGTGTCTTTCCGGTATGGCATACTGGCCATAAATAAGTACCATACCATACCGCCCTACTTGTACCACTAGGGATGACCCGCCTGCCACACTTCTGCCAGTAGTAGAGGATGTTCAGCTGGAACCACTGCTGCTGCTGTAGGGAATAGCTGCCAGGGAGTGAAGGCGGCTAGAGGAGAGGGGGAGGGGGAAGCACAGGGAGGTGGACTGGGAGGTGTTAAATCAGAGGTTAGGGGTCAGATTGTAGAATTGATGGATTTTTTTGCTAGCGAGTCTCCAGGGATCAATTTTGGGGGGGAGGTATGCAATGGGGAATGGATATTTTATCCAGGAAATAATACTTGTATCACCAACTCAGGCAGAATGTTTTTAAGGGAGTTTCCTTGTATCCTTAGCCTCACTGACTGCAATGGGACTGCTTGGCATGAGTAAGGGAGGCAAATTGTCTCCTTTCGTTTTTGTTTTCTGAGGTCACTTTTAAAGGAATCTAATGCTACTACAGATTGCCAATGTCTTTCTGGTATGGAAGGATCTGGAACTTTGCAGTGTGGTCTCATCACTGTCACACACACACACAGGGACTGACACCTGCAGGGTCTGTACTGCAGTGTGTATCCAGCCCAGAATCACGCTGGGATTTTGCCTCCATTACAAAGTGATAACTGGTTTGCTCTCCAGTATTCCTCCAGGTGGAATAATACATATATTATAAATATAGTAAATATTAATATTTTACACTTCTTATAACACCTTTCACCTGAGGATCTCAAAGGACTTAACAGATATTAATGAATTAAGGCTCACAACATCCTTGCAGGCTAGGTATTATCCCAATTTTACAACTGAAGAAACTGAGGCCCAAAGAGGTTAAGTGACTTACCCAAGATTGCAGTGATTACAGAGTAGTGAATAGAACCCAGAGGTCCTGACTCCCAGTCTGCTGTTCTAACCATGAGAACATTCTCCTTCCTTTCTCAGATTCAGGCTCATTTCATTATGTCACACCTGTATCTTTAACCATTCTACATCCCTAGGATATTTTTTTAAAATCTGTGATCACTAGAGCTTGTCACAAAACAGAAAAAACATGTGAATTTTCATGATTATTCCTCCTTCTTTTTAATTGAACTATAAAATTTTGATGACAACTTTCATCATCATTTTGCACTTTTAAAGACGTTGACCAGTAGTTCCATAGCTTGCTGAGAAATGGGGAAAAATTGGACGTTCTTTTTTTTATTGAGACTTTGACTAGTTTTTGTCCCTACACACCTGGGGACAAATTGTTAAATAAACAATAAGCATTAATAATAACACCTGGTTTATTTAAATAATCACAGTTGTAATAACATTATTATTTTAATGTAATTTGTACTTAAATACTTGCAAATATTCCAAAATACTGGACAAACATTCTGAAGTTAGTCTCACTATCTCCCTTGAGATGTATTATTTGATGCCCCTATATTGCAGATAGGGAAACTGAGTTAGAAATGACTTATTCAGAGACACAAAGACACAAAGTGAATCATTGGAGAGGGTGGAATAGATCCCTGAAACTTGACTTAGAGATGAGTCCTAGTTTTTTTAAACTACTAGACCATACTATTTAATATATCTGTGAATTTAATGCAGGTTTTATTTAGTTCTTCTTCCAGATCATTACTATAGAACTTAAATAAAACCATGCCAGAAGGAAGCCAGAAAAAGAGACGCACGAGTGCTAAGAAAACTAGAGTGAAACTCCAGTGGAGGAATTAGGGCCCTGATTCAGGAAATCACCTGTATTCAGGAAAACACTCAAGCATGTCGTTAAAGTTAAGTATGTGTTTAAGTGCTTTACTGAATCAGGCTTAGGGGTCTGATGCAAAGCCAGTTCATTAACCTCATTGGAGATTGGGTCGGACCCTAGCAGAGCCAGAGAGAAGCCTGTGTGTGGGGCTAGGGGTAACTAGGGCTAGCAAAGCAACAGAAGAAGGAGGTGAATTTGGTAAACTTAATTAAATCTCCTGGAACTTTTGTTAGAGGTGATGACAAATATTTAATATTTAAATTTGAAAGCCCTGAAACCAAATCCATGGAAGTGCCTAGATATCATGTTGGTTAGGTGCATGATAGAGATCAGTGAGTGTAACATGAAGGGGTGGGTCTTGATGGGAGCCATAAGGGGCAGGGCTCAACTCAGGTGGCAAATTTATAGGTCTTCCCTAGGGGACGTGCTGATGAGTTTCACTTATTCCTGAGTCTGGTGGATATTGAAAGCTGTGGCTGAGAAACCTCATGCTGATCTTTGCCTCTCTCTGAGAAAGAGGCCTGCCCCCAGAACAGCCAAGACCTGCTTGGATCAGCTTTGAATTCCTATCTCTGCCAACAGCTGCCTAGCAAGTCCATGGGATTTCACTGAGCCAGTTTAATACTTGTAGTCAGACAGTTTAAACCCATTAGCTCCCAGCTAGTGGAGTAAATTTGCTCTGCCAACCCCAGCTCTCAGGCAGATTTTGCCAATCAAAACCAAAGAGAGAAACAAAAATAACTATAAATTTAATAAAGATTGCAGCCTGCACTGTAAGAGCTAAACGCTGAAGCAAAATGCCTCTGGTTAGATCACTGTCTGTGACCTCTCTTAATGGACTTCCTCAGTGGGAGGATGAAGACCTGCCAGTGGAGGATTTATTGCTCTTTGAAGTCGCTTGGGAAGTTACCAATAAAGGTCTGTACAGCACTTTACATGTTAATTTGATTGTTTTGGGTGGGTGTGTGTGTGTGTAGGGACTGGATGCAAATGTTATTAAGTGGGAACTGTGGAAATGAATGCTTCATAAATGCAGCTAGATGTTTTATTCAGAAGGAGAGCTTAGGAAATTGTATCAAAAGAAGTGTGTCACTCTGTACATGTGTGAGCATGGAAGCATATGTGATTGTATATGTGCTATATCTGTGTGTGCTTATTCAGAATGCATGTGAGTAACCCATGTATGTGTATTTGTCCATGTACAGACTTTTGGGCACCAATCACAAAAATATGGGTGAGCGTGTAAGTGTTGCGCATATGTGTGCGTAGATATATGGCCGTTCCTCTCTTTGTATTGCTATGATGTATATGTATGTGAGACTTATTTTTTTAACTGATGCAAAATCTTTGGGAATGCAAAGCATGAAAATAAGCATTTGTAAGACAGTACATTCAAGTGCAGTGATTTTCTTCGGCCTTCCCTTGTAGAAAGCCATATTCTCAACTGGTGTAAATTGACATAGCTCTGCTGAAGTCAGGAGTAGAACCGAGAAGTCAGTGGGGCTGCATCAGTTCACACCAGTTAAAAATCTAGCCAAATATTTACAAGCAGGCCTAAAGGCAGCCATTGCATGAGAGCTTTCACGGTTGGTGCATGTGATCATATTTGAACTCTGCACATTGCTCTAGCTAATATGACCTCTCTGCCAGAGTAACTTCAGATTTAAAGTGCTAATAGAGCTGTCCTACTTCAACAAAGCAGCTTGAGTTCAGCAAAGGGGGAAAGGTAGTAATGTTGCAGCATAAATGAGTTACTACGAGTCAATGATTGACATTGTGTATCTTGCTGCCTGTGGGGATAAATAAAGAGAAGATAAATTGAGGAATAGATTGTAATCTGTAACATCTGAACCCTAAAGGACAAATGTAAGTGAGAGGAACAGATAGCCTTAGGGTTAACATTCTACCTGGAGTATTTTGCAAGTAAAGTGCTTATTTTTACCAATGTGCATGGCAAGCAATTGACAGGTAGATGGCAGCAGAAATCTGGCTAAATCAAAGGGTTCAATATAATGTATAATTTAAATCCACAGTGTAAATTCTTTCTGTGCATTTACAAAGCACATAATGGGCCGTACTCTCATTGATTTAGCTTTGCTGACCTCAGTGAAGCTACACAGATTTACCCTACTAATCCAGTCCAATTAAATTATTTGGAACTCAACAAATTTGAACAGAATGTCCTAATAGTTTCACCAAGTAATGACCTTATACTTTGTCAACCTGAATATTAGAACTGATTGAATTAGCCATAGCAAACGATTCTTTACCTTACATCAGAGCCTTCTTACAAATTGTCCCTTAACCCATCCTGGTTTGAAGTACTTGTTCTAATTATTATATATTTGATATATTAATATATATATTTGAGCAAATGTTTTTTGCAAACTCTTTGTAGCTTGTGCTCCTTCAAGTAGTGAATATTTTGCCTGTGTGTTTGGGCCATCTAAGTCATGTGCTTTGATACTGTTTCCTGATAGGGTGACCTCACTTTTATAAACAGCAGTAGTTCCTGGAGAAATCTCTGTTGCTGTAGGTCTTTCTGATCCTTCCCCCTTCATAGTTCTTCTCCTTGCTACTGCTCATGCTGAGAGATAGCTCACTTGTATTTATTTGAAATCATTCAGTAGTCTTTCATCTTCTCCATTTAACACCCTTGTTCCCAGACAAGTAAAGATATTACATGTAGGGTGGCAGAGTGAGCATTTCTAGCATTCTAATGCCCAAATTTGCACAAATCAAAACTCTTCCATAAATACTGATGTAAACAAGAACTAGTCACCCAAATGTAAGCACAATATATACTAGTGTCCTTTGAAGTCGTATCATGAATAATTTAAAATGAACGATTCCCAGCCAACTTAGTGAGCAAAATGTAACTTGTAATGCATGAGCTTCCTTGCTTTTTTATTATGCTTGTTTGTTTAGGGGAAAATCACTCCCTTTTGCAGAAGGTTCCTGGCCTGGAAAGCAGTAGAACTGCACATGTCTATTGCGGAAGTGAAACAAGGGGAGCAGGCCATGGAAGTCATGCACCCTACATGCTGCAAAGCAGTGCTCCATGTTGGCTCTCTCCTCTGTAGCACGGAGGGAGGGTTTTGGTGCCAGCTAGGGAAAGGACAGAGCATTATGTAGAGTGGCCACAAACTACATGGATCTATTGTCTAAAGCCTCAATAGATTCATAGAAATGTAGGACTGGAAGGGACCTTGATAGGTCTCCTAGTTCAGAAGCCTTGCACTGAGGCAGGACTAAGTATTCTCTTCTAGAGACATGACATCCATGACAGGTGTTTGTTTACTGATTTTAAAAACCTGCAAATGAAGGAGATTCTGCAACCTCCCTAGCTAATTTGTTCCAATGCTTAGCTACCCTTACAGTTAGCAAGTTTTTCCCAAGGTCTCTAACCTAAATCTCCCTTTCTGTTTTTAAGCCCATTACTTCTTATCCTGTCCTTAGTGGTTAAGGAGAACAAATGATCACTCTCCTCTTTGTAACAACCTGTACATACGTGAAGACTATCATGTCCCCCCTCAGACTTCTCTCTTCTCCAGACTAAACAACCCCAGTTTTATTCAATCTTTCCTCATAAGTCTTGTTGTCTAGACCTTTCATCATTCATGTTGGTTGTTGCTGTCCTCTGGACTTTCGCCAATATGTCCACATCTTTCTCGAAGTATGGTGCCTGGAATTGGACACAGTACTCCAGTTGAGGCCTTACCAGTGCTGAGTAGAGTGGAAGAATTACTTGCTTACAACACTCCTGTTAATATAACCCAGAATTATTGCTTATTTTGCAACAGTATCACATTATTGACTCATATTTAGTTTTGATCAACAATAACCCCTGGCCAGATCCTCTTCTGCAGTACTCCTCCCTAGGCAGTCATTTTCCCATTTTATATTTGTGCAATTGGACATTCCTTCCTAAGTGTCCTACTCTGCATTTATCCTTATTCAGTTTCATCTTATTTGTTTCAGACCATTTCTCCAGTTTGTCATGACCAATTTTAATTCTAATCCTGTCCTCCAAAGATCTTGCAACCCCTCCCAGCTTGGTATTGTACACAAACTTTATAAGTCTACTCTCTAAGCCATTATCCAAATCATTTATGAAATTATTGAATAGAACCAGACCCAGGACAGATCCCTCTGGGACCTCACTTGATATGCTCTCCCAGCTTGACTGTAAACCATTCATAACTACTCTCTGAGGAATCTTTTCCAACCAGTTGTGCACCCACCTTATAGTACACATGTGGAAATGTGTAATAGATAGATGTTATAGGCCACTAATAAAGACTGCAGCAGCATCCGTGGAGAGGCTGCACAATTCCTCATCGTCCTTGCCCCATCCCTTTAAACCTCCTTGTATGTCCTCGGCAAAAGTCAATTTGCTCAAGCTGCTCAGGGAGGATGAGAATTTGTCTCTTACAGACTAATTTTGTTACTTGCCATAGTCATTAGCCAGGATTAATGAGGTTTCCATTGCTTTGATGAGGAAGTTTTTAATCACTTTATGAAGTTGATAACTATACTTATTGAGATGTTTGATTAATATTTATATTAGCATCTCTTTGCATATTGTCTGTATTATTCGATCCATCTTATAAACAAAGAAAGATATAAAGTGGTACAATGCTCAAAAAAACAGAACAACAACAAAAAAACCAACCACCTCTAGGCAGGTGACCAGTTCTTATCACTACCTAAATATAAACCCATTAGCTTGGTATTCAGGCCCATTACAGTGCTTCTGGAACATTGTTCCTTTAATCTTAAAAAGCAAAGTTGCCTGGAGAAGAGCTCATTTCCCCATTCCACACACCAGCTTCAGTCTCTACCTCCATTTCTCTGTGTACCATTTCTTCCCATCTCTCTGGCTCCTTCCCTTCCACCAGCTGTTCCTCTGTAGCTCTTTCTTCCCTCTCACCTTCAGGGATGGGGGTGGTATTAGTTTTTTGGGGTGAGGGACTCAAGTGAATGAGTGGTGGGTACATTGTGTGCGTGTAATTGATGTATCTATTTATTTAGGTATGCATGAGCCCCACCACTATAGTATCTGAGTAACTCCTAGGAGTTTAAAAATAGAATGGGAAGAGCACAACATAGAGAAAGATGAGAAGGAGAATTTAGACTGGAAGGATGAAAACTAAAACTGGTTTAAAAAAAAAATTCAGCAAAATTTGTTTGACAAAAATGCCTTTTCAATTAAATAAACACTTTCTCATAAAAAAAATCTGTTTTCATCCTTTTCGTCCTTTTAAAAAAAAATTCTAAACAAAATATTTCAAAATTTTTGTTTTAGTGGGAAAAACCTCTCTCTCTCTCTGTGTTAGGGAAATAAGTGAGAGAGAGGGTTTTTTCTTTTCTTTTCTTATTTCACTTATTTATTTTCTCTTATTACTCTATTTAGAAAAGGCGGGAATTAAAACAAAACAAAACAGCAAAAACAAAAGTGAGAGGTTGTTTATTTTTACCCCACTGAAATTAAATTTCAAAATTTGTGGTCAAAACTGAATACTTTTGAAGGGAACAATTTAATTTTTGTTTCTTGGATCTTTTTCTTGGCATGTTTTTTGACCTGCTCTGAAGCACACATAGAAACAGACAGATGATACACTAGTTTAGAAAGAAGGAAAGAAAACAAATGAAGGAACAGAAAAAAGGAAGAGAAGGGAGAGTAAAATAAGGAAAAAAGTAAGTTCTAGCAAACCCCCCATTATTATTTGGTGAAGGTTAATATCAAAACACAGAGGTGTATCGCATCAATAAACTGGTGAATTTGCCCCTAAGTTGCCAGTGTCAGTGGGAGGACTGCTAGACTAATATCAATTTGCATAACAAAATGTTTTCAGTGGAATGGTGGGACATTGATTTTAGTGTACGCTAAGCATAAATCTGAACTTTGTACATCA